TGCCATCCAATAAACCTTAGGAAAGAAAGCCTTCCATTTCTTCAGGTGGGAGCCCATGGGAGGCCCTCTGCCATATACCACCCTACGTGACCCTCACTTCAGCCCAGCTCCTCTACGCTCTCCAGGGAGCACGCGTGCATACACACACACACACTCTGCCCTCTCCACGCCCTGCCTAGCCCAGCTTAGTTTCCACAGTAATGGGCTTTAACTACGGCACACCAGAGCCCTCGCTCTCTCCACAATTTACCAGATACTCAATTGGGGGGAAAATAGTTCCACATTATAATATTTCTATCCCCATGCAGACTTGTTATGCTCTTTGGAGGGCAGAGCTCTCAGGCTGTAACTTTCGCAGAGAGGGGATTGTGACAGTGCTAGGGGGCCCATGTTCTAGATTCTAGAAGCCCTGCTGCCGGTCCCTGACCCAGCCCCTTTCCCTGCCTCCTTGGGCAAGAGCAAGCTGTAGCCAGGCCAGGGCCTTACGTGAGATTTCCTTTCTCTCCTCAAGGTACAAAGTCACAACTCCCGGGCTCAGTTGTTAAAGCTGGCCCACTAAGATCACAGCTTAACCCTTCGTCTCTCTAACCGTACTGCCTACAAAGGTTACTTGTGTTTTTATTTCCCAAAGAGCCAAAGGCTAGTAGTTTATATTCTGAAAGTTCAGCATCGCGAGCTGTCTCTCGGCGTGCTCAGCATCCTGTGATACAAAACGCCTGCCCAGCAGGAAAGGGAGCGTGGTCAGCCAGTGGAAGAGCCAAGTCAAAGGTTGGAGAAATATCTCCTTCAGATTGACTAATCAGCAAAGAGGTCAAGGGAGGGCAGGTCGGTGACAACAGCAGGAAGGAATCAACAAGGCGCTGGCAGGTGGTGCTGACGAGAAAGCCTTGGTGCTCAGCCTCCGGGGCTGAAAATGGGGCCCTTGGACACAGAAGGGGCACCTAGCATTTCCGACTCAGACAGCCCTGAGATCCAGTGAGAGCCTAGAGGAGCCGCCTAACCACAACACCTCAGGGCTTCCTCTCCCTCTCTGTGAAAGGGCCCCGGAGGGAACTGTAAACCATGCAACACGGAGCTCTCTGATATAGTGGCATTCCAAATATTCTTTAGAAGCATAAGTGTATTCAAGGATTCTTCCCAGGGTCTTGGGGGAACTCAAATGGGAAGCCGGGATGGTGCCACTAACTTCACTGGCATCCAGAAAGTCTGGCTCAGTGATGGCTTCGATGTCAGCCCCACACAAATGAGATTTGGGACTGGATGTCAAACAGGCAGCATCCCTCCACAGTGACTCAGACCCCAACCCCGGTTAACCAAGTCACCGTGCAGGCAGTGGGCTGCCCAGCTCCCTCATTCATGAGGTGATCTGAGTGAATCTGGAGTGTCCCTTTCTACAGGCAGAGCTGGGTTATCATTAATTGATCATGTGGGAGAGCAGAGTGTCTGCCACAAACAAGTGATGGGAGGGCATTCAAGCAAATTCCTATCCCCAAACTGCCCATCCATCAGACATCCAAAATGCGCTATCTAAAAAACAGAGTAGGGGAGAGAATGCCAAGTAGTGCTGGCGCTGGGGGCTGGGAAGAGAAGTTGGCAACCAGGTCAGAAAGGTTAGCATTGAGCCCTAGGCTGCTTTGTCTGTCATGCTGTATTTCTGCTTCACTGTAGAAATAAACCTGCATCTGTCTCTGTGGAAGCACTATTTCTACAAAAAAAAAAGACAACCAACTGTGTTGAATCTCTGCCTTGATGCCCTAACCTGCTAGAGGCATGAGAGTTGGAGAAAAGGGGACAGATGCCCGCTTTAATTCCTTAACTCTGCCTTTTATGAGTGCAAACCATGAGTACAGTTAACGAGCATTTGCTCTCTCTTCATTCCCTAAGTACCGCCCGCCCCCAGGTGCGTGCCCATGCTGCCCCTGGCAGGTGAAGTCAGTCACGCGGGTGATCTGACTGACACTGCCCCCACTGAGCTAAAGGGATCAACTCATCACTAGGCACCAAGCAGACACCGCCTCTCTCCTTTGCCTTCTCCCGGGGCCCTGTCCTTGGGCAACCCTCTTGACCTCTGTTCCCTTAGCCGCCCTCCTGATCACTCACCATACTCAGAGCTGGGTTTTACACGTGGAAAACGGTGCCCTTCTATTGCCAAGTGGCCATCAAGCGCTCTTTGCCTCGTCCCCACCCTCACACCCATTAGGATGGCCCTTGCTGTGCTCACAGGGGGGGTTCCTGTCCTCCCCGCAATGTTCTCTGGCTCTTTCATAACATCCTTTACTAGTTAGGTGCCTGGGCTTCGTTTAATCGGGATATGGCTCCAGTGTTCATTTCCCATAGAACCTTCTGTGGCTAGGAACACCCTTAGTCAACACAGTCTTCAATGCGGCTACTGTTGTCCCAGTGGAATTCTTAGCTTCTCCTCCAAAAGTTTGCACTCTGCTTCTTTCTTTCAGAGAATTTGAAATTTTCTCTGGTGTGATCACAAAGAACCCAGTCACAGCAATTTAATGTTTCTTAGCAAAATGTAACTATACGTGCATATTTAGGGCCATGGATTCTAATGTTTTAAATGTGAATCCCTCTTGCATTTATCTGCTGAGAAAAAGTAAAACACACCAAAACACCAAACTCACTGCCATCGAGCCCATTCCAACTCATGGCGCCCCTGTAAGACAGAGTAGAACTTTCTGAGACCGTCGCTCTTTCGCAGCTAGACAGTCCTGTCTTTCCCCAGGGAGCAGCGGCTGGTGGTTTCAAACTGCTGAACTCCTGATTAGCAGCCCAACGTAGAACCACTACACCACCTGCGATGATATGTTTACTAGGAAAAGTAAACCATAGAGGCCTAAATACAGGAATGTACATATGTAAATATATTTATGATGAGGGGGGGAATAGATCTATATGCATATATTTATAGGTATAGTAGTAGGGTACCAGATGGACATTGGACCTCCACTCACGCACTCCCTCAATACAAGAAAACTTACGGTCAACTAAACGGTCATTCCATGATACCTACCTTCACGACATAATCGCTGAAAACAAACGTGTGCATAAACAAATGTGAAGAAAGCTGATGGTGTCTGGCTATCAAAAAATATAGTGTCTGGG